ACACGTTGAGTGTTGGCTTGATGGTATTGTGGATCGGATAAGGAGAGGGATCGGTGAATAAGGTTTTTGGCGGTATTGATTTTTTGGTGATATGGGTGTTGGGAGTAATAGTTGAGTAGTCTGCCTGAGTATGTGGGTTTAGTGTACCAGTCAGTAGAGACAGAACCGTCAATGTTTTTCATTATTAGGAGGTCTAAGAAGGGGAGCGAATTGTTATCTTCTTTCTCTATGGTGAAACGGAGACGGGGGTGATAGGAGTTGAATAAGGAAAGAATTTGGGGGATGCTGTCAGGGTTAATAACAAGGAGGAGGTCATCAACATATTTTTTTATGAAAATGATGTCTTGATGAAAAGAAGGGATAACAGAGTCAAGAAGGTCATTGAGAACAATATTGGAAATATCTGGTGATAAGTAATTTCCCATGGCTAGGCCAGAAATCTGATGAAAGAATTTTCCTTGGAAGCTGAGGAAACCGGATCACATTGTTTATAAATTATGTCTAAATATTATGTAATTTCCACAATTCTCTATCTTTTTGTATCTTGTCCGTTCTAGCCCTGATGAAGACCTGCAAAGTCGGGTCGAAACGTTGGCTTTCAATAAAATAGTTTTACCACTATTTAGCCTTTTTATGACCGCAACCCCGGACCATCTCCTTCCTTTAACAGTAAATTAGTTTGTATTTTGATTATGTCAGACTAAGACCCACAAATTTGTAACTCTGTTATTATTCTTAGGAGACATTAGTCCCAGAATAAAATTATTTTTTCTTTTTATTTCATTTCACAAATAAGTGTAGGTAAGTATACGGATTATTTAATTAAGAGTACCCACTTTATAGAGGCTGGATTTGCACGAGGAGGGTCTCCCGTCCTCAGGGTCGACCCACAACTGATAAAATATTACTAGTCATCAGGCGGTTTCGAACCTGGGACCTTGAGCCTGACTGTGACAGGCACATATACGGCGCAGCCAGTGCGTCTGTGACTAATCACAGCGGCCTGAGTAAAAGAAGTTTTCTCAATTGTCAAAAATATATTTGAATAGAATGAATCGATTACGAAAATAAACAAATTATAATCAAAGATAAAATTTTAATTCAAATTAAAAATACTACTTTCCGACTATCAATAACATATATTTTCTGCGGATATTGAGATTAAACAAAACAATTAACATTATTGTTTTCGTATTCATAATATGATTTATTTATACGTATTTATATCAGCGATTTATGTTAACTTTCAAATATGCTTTTTGTGAATTTCAATTTATTTTTCAATATAAAATCACTGCGAATGCATGACTATGACAGAAATCCTTATATACTTCGAATAGAGTTACACGTGCACAATTTACTTATTTCATAAAGAGACTAATTATTTAAAGTAATGAAATGCCTTTTTGCTATAAATCTAAGACATATTAATTAATTAATGGACAAGAAGACTGTTTGTTAATAAATATAATATATAATGTATTAATGTATACATAAATTAAGTAAAGGGATGGATAAGATTTTTGTCACTGTCACTGGACCAGTAATGTCCAAGGGAGTGGAATAGGTTGTCACTGTTCCAAAGGGAGACTCTGTGACATGTCACTGCTCCACCAGTTCCGTCACATCCCTAGCCTGCTGTCACGCAAGGTCAACACGCAATCTGACGTGTCACCTACAAATTAAAATGCTTGAAACCGTCAGTTTGCGTCAGGCCGTCAGCAATGAATATGGAACAGGAGCTTATTGAAAATGTAAAAATGTATCCCGTACTATTTGATCCAAATGAGAAGGAATATAGAAATAAAATTTTTCGTAATGAAGCCTGGGAGGAAATAGGACAAATCCTAGATATACCAGGTAATATTTAGTTGTATTTATTTGTTCTATATTTTTATAACTTAATTATTTCATTTTAATTTTAATAGCAAAGAAACTATTATATTTTACATATTATATTTATATTACACCATGAATGAGCCTGTGGTAACAATTTATTTCTTATTTTATTTAATACAAATAAGTAAGAGTAAAATTAAATCCGTTTTTTTTCATGTGATGCAAAGTTTCAAATGTTCTGTTTCTATATTTTGAGGTTCAATTTTCGCTATTTAAATATCAAAAACAATTTATAAGAGCTTAGTATATTTACATATTGTATAAGCATTTTTTCATTATCAATATTCTCTGCTTAATTTAACTCATAACCATCTCCTTCCCCTCCTATTCCTAGGGACTTAGGAAAAAACATAGATGTATTCAAGATACAAATAAACGTTATATATATATATATATATATATATATAAATTTATATAATTTATGTATAAAATTTATATAAATTTATATATATATATATATATATATATATATATATAATGTAATATAATATTGATATATACATTTATATAAACTTTCTTTTTATCGATTTAGGGTGCTTGATTAAAGCTTGTAAATAAATACATAAAATTAAAAGTCAGTACTAAGTCAACCTCTGTCGTGTTCATTTCGTGCCTTTATTCTCTCTTTTTTTTTTGTTATTTCTTTTCCTTGATATTTTAACTGAAATATTTTTTAGCAACTATATTGCTTCAAGTGCTACTTCTTTTTTTTTGGCATTTCGATCTTTTCTGCTGCTACAGAAATAATGCAATCCACTTCAGCACTACAAAAACTATTAATACCCATTATTGGTATGCTCAAATAATTTCAAATCAGTACTAATCAATAATTCTAAACCTCTCTTACTCAATTGAACACCGATCCTAAAAGGTAGCATGCTGACAGTTTGAGCATCTCCTTCCAGCATAGATATCTGAGATTGCCACAGTAGCCTAACCACTCACATCACTATGCTTCTACAGTGTATATACAAACATAATTATTTAATTATATTATTTAAAGGTAGACTAGAATGTTTTTTATTTGATTGATTGTAATAACAAACCAAAATTAATCAACTTATGGTTTAATTAAAATAATTTTTATATGAAAAAAATTAATTTATGTTTTCTTGATAGGTAATGAATGTAAGGAAATGTGGATGAAAATCAGAAACGCGTACACAAATGCAATGAAGAGAAGAAAATCGAAACAAAGTCAGGGAACCAAAATCATGTTCAAGTGGAAATATGAGGATCAATTGGCTTTTCTTGCACAGGCACTTGATCAAAGAATGTATGTTTTAGAATATTCAAAAATCATATTTGTTGATAATAATGGTTTATAATGAAAATTTAATTTCATGAATTTTTCAGAACTCCTGGGAATGGAGAGATGACAGAAGAGGACTTGTCAGAAGGGGAAGAATTTTCTCAAGATGAAACATTTTCATCTTCTAAACCACTCGCATCACCTGTTGATCATATATCCCCTGCTAGTCCTTCTCTTCCTCTTTCTGCCCAATCACCACCTCCATTGAAAAAGACACGGATAGTGACATCAATGAGTGATATGGCATCTTTAATAAAGGATAATAGCTGTGTAAGGAGGAAGATAGCATCAAACAATGAGATAGACATGTTTTTCTTCAGCCTTTCAAAAACTGTCCAAAGGTTGAGTCCAGAGGAGCAAGCGAGAGTAAAAATGGATGTTAGTAATTTGATATTTCAAGCCGAGCTTCGTGAGTTGCAACGGCTTCATACATCTGATCCCAATTCATTAAGACCTCCAAATATGTCCTCACAACCCAATCACCTTCCATCTCATTCAGCTTCATCTTTGTCTACTAGCTTCCATACAATGTCCTCTTCTACTGCAACGAATTCCAGGCAAAATGGGATATGATATGTAGGATATGTATATGTGTGGGAGCGGGTTAGCTCAGTAAATAAGCCACTGGTTTCCTACGCTCAAGGTCCGGGGTTCTGAGTTTAGCTGTGTCAGATAATTATTTATTCTGTTACCTCAGCTGTGAATCAACCCTAGAATTGGGAGAAACCTACTTGGGACATACCCACCCTTTATAAAGTGGGTACTCTTACTGAAATAATTTATTAAGAGTAAAAAGCTGATGATTGAGCATGATTTTGACCCAACACCTTCCTGCTGATCCATTGGCCTTGAAACAGTTCTTATAAAGGTGCACAAACCATCAGTCTACCAAGAGATCAAAGAAGTCAGATTTACATCTTGGAGATATCTTCTCCATTTATATTCATGTTCATCATCGCCCATCAAATTTCTATATAAAATAAAATTATTACTATGTAATAAAGAAATTAAATTTTAAATGCAACTAATAAGGAATTATCATCCTATTAATTAATGACTTTGATCGAATAAGTACTTGTTACTTCATACACCTTACAAATTTAGTACTTTTTCTTTTATTTAAACAAAACGTTAATAACTCCTGGTCAGATCAGTTTTCATGACAGGTTATCTTTGTAAGAAATGAATAAATTAGATTATTTTAAACATGAAACCTAGTTGGTGTGATTTATTTCTATTCCATTACCATCAATTAGCAATGGAGAGCAAAGTGGAACTAGCATGTTATGCTACAAAAATTTGATTTAATATTTTATTCTTATTTTAGGCTGGAAATAATAATAAAAAAAAAACTTATTTTTCTTAAAAGTCGTATAACATGTTCAGTTATATAAATTACTTCAAAGAAAAAGTATAAATTATTATATTTTGTTAAACAAAGTTAGATGCTGATTTTTACAAAATCAGGCAGAAGGTATTTGTACTAAACACCTCATAAGTTTTAAAGGAGTGAAATTACTTGAGTGCTAATTTTCAATGAATATAATTTTGAAGTTAACTCACTTCTGTACTTTCTAGTCAAGTTTAATAAAAATAAAAAAAATAATAGAAATAAAAACAAGAACAAAATTGGCAATCTCTAAAGGCACATTCTATCTAACATTAAAAATATAAATTGTTTGATTTCCAGTATTTATAGAAGCGGACCTTTGAGCGTTTAAAAATGACATAAAAAGTGTTTGATTATTTTTATTATGAGTTTTTTTTCAATCCATATGGAAAAATATAATTTAAAGTAGAAAAATAAATAGTATATTAAAGAAAAATAACAATCTGATTTTTTACATTATATAACATATAATTAATTAGCTGAGCTGTCACCATATTTTTCGAAATACACTCAACACATAAGTTACTGTAAGAAAGCAGTGAATTTTATATGGTAATTCAGATCATACCAGGAACCTTATATATGAAATCACCATTAGAATCATAGTAGCAATCATTTACTTTATAAACATGGGTTTTAGACTTCACCATCTTATCTTTTGGTATTATTATCTTCAATGGTACTTTATCAATATGTTTAGAAATCACAGTAGTTTCAGCAATACTCTTCATATTCTTGGCAGGAGGTAAAACATTTAGAGGCTTTCGTAGCAGTTCTGAATCTATCTTAGGTTGACTTTCCACAAAGTTATCAGTACTCGTTTGTTTAAATTCAATTCCACCACCATTAGGGATGTTATTGGACAATTCTTTTTTTAACTGATGAAGAGTATAATATTTGTGTTTGAGAAGAACAGTATTTTTTTGGTTTAAAACATATGTTTCTCCTTTGTGGGACGGAGTAAAATTGTTATCAACAAAACATTCATTTTTATTTTGGGGACTAGATAGTGATGAGTTGTCCTTAAAATTCTTTACTATATCCAGAAATTCTGACGAGGCAGGCGAAGGATTGTAAGTCTGAATAGATTTATCTGAAAAAATAAATAAAATTATTAAGATTATAAGAGCCATTTTTGCTTTGCGAATTCCTATCAGATGTTAATCATGTAATGTCTCATTAAATTCAAACCCTAATCTGGTATGAACTACTCTTTAGGAACCATAAATTCTAAACACCAATGTTTCCCAAATCAGCCACGACAGTTCTCTGAAGGTGAAATATAACAAGTATGTAATAAAAAAAAAAAAAAAAACTTGATCTAAACTTAAAGTATTTCGAATGGAAATATATTGATCCTTTTTTGATTTTTTAGCGATGTTATGTGAGCATATAAAATATATTCTCGAATATTACCATGAATTTAATTGTTATTTTATTTTTTCCTGATCATTTAGCTTATTTTTGAAAAGTATTTGAGTTTTCCAGAGCATGACAACTAAATTTTATGGTAAAATTTTAAATTAAAGTTTTATTATTATTATTACAAGGTTTTAGCTAGATGCCATTAGCCAAAATTTTAAATAATAATTATTCTAAATAAGATCACTAACTAACATCCTCTATCTTTTATAATTTAATACCTATGGAGTTAACAAAGTGAGATAACGCTTCCAGAATTAGGATTTGTTATATCACTGTAAGATGGATTGTCTGTATTTATCAGAGTTTTAATTTTATTTATAAAATGGTATTTTTCTGCAGCATATTTAATGCATGATATCAACATATGTTTCGGGTCGTCCTTAACTTCACACAATTCACAATAATCTGTATCTTTTCTCTTAATCATATGTATAGTGATGGAAAAAAGTATTTGCACAACACGTTTTTATGAATAAAGTAGTTCAAGGAAACAAAAAACTTTGCTTTCCTTTGCAAAAATGAAAACTAAATTTATTAAAAACTGAAAAAACCTTTTTACAAAAAAACAAAAACACTTCATAATCAAACAAAATAATTAAAACAATAAAAGTGCTTAGAAAAAAGTATTTGCACACTTCCACATTTACAAGTTTATTTTAAATTTTAATATTTTGTAAATAGGCCATTTGCGTCAATAATTGTTTGTAGATGTCTGGGCATTGAATGCACTAGGTTTTTTATTAAATCTACGTTTATTTGTTCCCATTCTTGAACAAGAAGTTGTTTAAGGTGATGTCCACTAGTGATATGGTGTTTTCTTACATTTTGGTCAAGAGTGTGCCATAAATTTTCAATCAAATTTATATCTGGTGACTGAGGAGGAGTGTGGTGCTGTCTTGGAACATTAAATATTAACCATTCCTTTGTTCTCCTCGCAGTATGTTTTGGATCGTTGTCCTGCTAGAAATAGTACTGATCCTGGATTTCCATTTTTTCAGCACTAACACGCAAATTATGTCGCAAAATGTTCACATAGCCTTCCGCATTTAAAATGCCTTCGATGCTCACAAGATTTCCCACGCCATGGTAGGAAACACACCCCAAACCATAACATGTCCTCCACCAAGCTTTACAGATGTTAAAACATTTTGCTTCTTTAAGGCTTCATTACGATGTCGCCATATCGTCCTTCGACCATCTGAACCAAACAAATTAAATTTGCTTTCGTCAGAAAAGATGACATTTTCCCAAAAGCTTAAGGGTTTCTGTACGTCCTCCCTAGCAAAAGCAAGACGCTTTTTCCGATTCATTTCACTGATGTATGGCTTCTTTCTTGGAACTCTACCATGGAGCCCTCCGAATTCAGGGCATATCTAATTGTTCTGCTAGTAATCTGAACTCCAGACGTTGATTGGACCATGGTAGCCAGCTCCCGAGAACTTATCAGAGGATTTTTAAGAGCTTCTTTTCTGATTTTCCTCTTTAGCTTGGGAGTTAACTTTTTTGGATGCCCTTTATGCTCACTGTTTTCAGTTGAATCAACTTCTTCATACCTTTATAAGATGTATCTCACTGTAGAAAAATTCAACCCTAAGAAATCGGCAATTTGGTGATATGCTTTTTGCTGACTCCTCAGTAAAACAATTTTTTCACGAGTTGCGGCACAGTTCACTTGTCTTTGGCATGATAATTGTCTATTGACTAAAGGAAACCAATTGAAAGACTAGAGAATACTGGTAATAAACGATTAGAGATAAATTAGTAAACAAACCTATGACCTATAGACACAGGAGGATTAATGCCAAAGTAAACAGAGCTTGTGAGTCATAGTGTGCAAATACATTTTTCCAAGCACTTTTATTGTTTTAATTTTTTTGTTTCATTATGGAGTGTTGTCATTTTTTTCCAAAAGGTTTTTCAATAATCAACCGATATATTGCATTTAATATCTGCGTGGCCTCTAACCCAAGCAAATATAACAGTTTTTCTCCTTGTTCAATTAAAAGAATTTTTCTAAAATCGAAATTACTAAATATGATGATTTTAAATTATAATATACTATATATATTTTCTAATTTTTTTACGGCACTTAAACTGTCAGTTAGAATTAAAGTATTATTATAATTACGACTACTACTTCTTGACACTACAGATTGATGTGGTCCTTGATCTCCTCGACAAGTCTTCGCCAGGTAATTTGATCTTGTGCCGCTGCTCGCCAGTTGGAGATGACTAGGTTGTTGGCATCCGTGGCAACAGTGTCCTCCCATCTGAGATCTCTTCCTCTTGTCTGGTGGAGCCTACAATCCAGCAGTTTCCTGGGCATTTCTACTTCTGGCATGCATGTAACGTGGCCAGCCCACCTCATTTTTACCTACCTAATTATGTCATTCTCACCATAAAGTTGGTAAATTTCATTGTCAGTCCTCCGTCTCCAGTACTCTCCAATCCTTACCGGTTCAAATATTCGTCAGATAATTTTTCCTTCAAATATAAGAATCTCCTCATTACTTGTGAGGATCCAGGTCTCTGATACATATGTTAGGACAGGCCTTATAAGAGGCACTTAGTGCGGCGGGATAGGTAAGAACTTCTGAGATGCTTTCTGAGATCAAAATAGCACCTGTTGGCTTTGATGAGTCGTTGATTGGTTTCTATGGAGATCCTGTTTCCAAAATATCTCCATATCCTCCGCAGTCTTTGATAACTTGAGAAAAGCTTCTGTTAAGGACTTAAAAGATCTTGCGATGATATCCAAGTCATCAGGGAAGCCGAGTACCTGAACCAGCCAGTTGAAAATGGTGTCAGAGGTCTGTATGCCCGAATAACATAGAACTTTCTCCAAGGCTGGATTGAACAACAGGCAGACGAGGCCATCGCCTTGTCTAACACCTCTGGTAGAAACCAAGTGTGGGGAGAGATTCGACTGATTCCTCACTGTACAAGTTGTACCATACATTATCATTCTGATCAGTCGAACCAACTTCAAAGGGACTCTCAAAGCTGCGTACAACTTAGGTCTTTTAATGTTATCATAGACTCTCTGAAAATCAACAAAGAGGTGGTGAGTTGTCATCCGATACTCCTGGGACTTCTCTGGTATCATCCGGAGACTAAACATTTGATAAACTGTAGATCTCCTACTTCTGAAACCTGCTTGATATATTCCAAATTCTCCCTCAGCAAACGGAAGAAGTTTACTATAAATTATATTAGAGAGAACCTTGTAGGCGCATTGTAGAAGTGAAATGCTCCAGTATTTGGAGCATTACAGGATGTTGCCTTTTTTATGAAGTGGATAGATGATGCTTCTCTTCCACTGTTCTGGCATTTTCTCTTCGATCTACACTATGAGGGTGACATCGTAGAGGGTTCTCAAAAACTCCTCGCCACCATGCTTCAACAGCTCGGCTGGAATCCCATCTTCCCTTGGAGGTTTGTTGTTTTTAAGCTTATTCAAAGCATCCTCCACATCATCGTAAGTGGGAGGATCGAGAATTTCTGTATCATTCTCACTACCAGGTATCTCCCACTAGGTCTTCTGCGTTGTCATTCAGCAGACTGTTGAAGTGATCACCGCGCCAGTATTTCATCTTTTTCCATGGTCATGGATCCATCCTCCTTTCTACATGTCCTGACATGTGGTTTGAAGCTGGGCCTACTCTGGTTGATAATCTGATAAACGAGTCTTGATTCCCTCTGATAGCTGTATTTCCCCAGCTGCTTCCATTATAATTGCTATCTTTTATATAATCATGAGCTGCTAATATCGCTGGCAGTTTAGCCGTGTAAACTGAAGCTTTATCGTGTATACTAATAAGGACACTGTGATTATCTGTATCATTATAGGCAGCATCTCCTACTCCCTCAGGACTCTTAGATCTGTCAGTAAATATTATATAAAAGGATGGAAAATTTAATTTAATATGTTCATTGAAATAAGGATCACGTTGAGGTTCTGGAACTGTGTCAAAGTCGGGAAGAGAAGTTATTTCTATGTTTAGTAAAAATATATTGTAAATACAATTAAATATGGCAGGTTTTTTTCAGAACATGAATAGTATATTTGGAGTTACACAATTTTAAAAAAGCTGTTACCAATGGGGAGGGAGTTTCATTTTTCCAATATCTGTGTGTTAAGAGTATCTGATGCTAATAGAACCAGTTTATTATCCTCTGCAAGAATTTTTAAAACAAATTTATCGCTCAAAAAATTCCTTCTGATTATCAACTGGGCTTCCAACTTCAACTAAAATATTATTAATCGGACTGCTATTAAGTAGACCTAAGCTTATTCTGATAGATCTACACTGTATTCTATTGAGTGTAAGTAATTTAGTTTTAGCCGTATTCCCATAAAAAATGCAACCGAAATCGATTATAGCCCTTGTTGTTGCCATTAGAAATTAATACATATTTTAGGATCTGCTCCTCCCCCTTTAGTTGAACAGATAGCCCTTAATATATATTATTGTATTTATCAAATTTTTGGGAAATTTTAATTATATGTTGGTGCCAACTCAATTTCTGATCCAAAATGTAACCTAGGAACTTCACCTCCTATTGTATTGAGAATTACTGATTGTTGATGGTCAAAATTTCTGGTTCTGTTTGTTTCTTTTTTTCATTAAAAATACATACTGTCGATTTTTCATTTGATATAGAGAAGCTCTTTAAGGATGCCCAGTTAAGTAAACTGCGTATTGTAGAAATTAGAGATTTGAAACAATCTTTATGTATAATATATAAACAGTTATCATCGGCGTATTGAATTAGTTGGCAATTATCTATTACATTTTTATTTATATTGGCCACATAGAAGACAACTTAGAATTCCTCCCTGTGGCAGGTCTATACGAGCTAAATGTGGTTCTATAATCTGTCGGCTTAATCTCAAAAAGACTTCGCTTTCCTTGTATAATTCTAAAATTCTATAAATAAAGCCTTCAGAAAGTCCTGCATTAGACATTTATTAAATAGAGAAAATTTAGGTATAATGTATTATAAAATATACAATGGACCTGAGGTAAATAATTCATAGAATTATGATCTTTCATATAATGATTGGACTCTGTGCATAACCATAGCTTTAAGATCAGTACTGCTAATATTTACATTTTCTGTTACTTTTAAAGGATTTAAAATCAAAAATATAATATCTGAAATCGAATCAACGTTTAAGCTTAGTCTCTCATTTAACGAAATTTTATCTTCGCTTTAATAGGGATTCTTTGTTATTGGGTTACTCATAATCGTAGGATAAGAAGTAATATTTTTATATTCTGTTAATGTACTATCTACACTGGATTGTGATTTAATGGACGAAGATAGCCTAATCCTTTTGGGGAGGACTCGGATAGCCTGTTTTAAACCTGGAAACAAATTATTATATTTAAAATTAGGCGTATTATTATTTAAAGCTGATTTAAACGATTTTCCCATGATCAATTATTTTGCTTCGATAAAGGTTATATTTTCATTGACCATTAGATTTCTTATTGATCATAATCTATCGATGGGTGATTTTGATCACAATGAACGCATTTAATTAAATTTTCTGGAGGGCAGTCCTCCACTTTATGACCTTAACTACTTTTTTCTTTTTTTTTTACAGCCTGTTCATACAAGTCTTACAACTTGTAGGCCTCCCATTATTAAGGAGATATTATGGTCTAACTTCCCGTGGGGACCAGCCATAGTGGGAAGTAGGACCGGGATTCGATCCTATGACCTTTGCTTTACTATTATAGCGCGCTGCAACGTAAACAATTTTTCCCTATGTGACCCCAACGTAGACAATTATAACATTGAATTGTACATGGCACAAAAGGATCAATTCTACAAATGACTTTATGAATTGATAGAAATTTTGCAAGTTCTTGACCTCTCACACCAACACAACAGATTCTGTTGACAATTTGCTTTAATCATCTTTTATTACTTTTTGCATTAATCTTTGTACCAATACTATATTAAAATTTTGCTGATAGTTAATCGTTTCAATATTATTTTTAATTTATTCATCCAATATATCCTTATATACTCCTCTCATACCTTTTTTCCCCCACAATAAAAAGGGATAAGCTTTCAGATTCTCAGTTTTATTATTATTAATTTCTGAAATTAGTGAATTTGTGCTATCCTTATTTCTTAGTTCAATTTTTACCCGGTTTCTGTCTATTGATTTGATATTAATAATCGATTTGTAGAATTAGAGAACATTTTTGAAAAGTTTACTTCCAAAGCTTATTGGATGAAGTTTTCCAATATTACGACCCTCAAGAACCGATTCAACGAATACATAAAATGGGCCTGAATCAAAATTATTATATTTTAACGGTATAAATGCCTTGGTGCAAAACTTGCGACAAGCCGATATTTTTCGACAGAATATCCTTCATATCAACAAGATTATCCTTCCCAGATTTATCTAGAGGGACATCTCGAGGATCCTTATCCTTGGGCATGCTTTTAATTAATTATAAAACAAATATATGACACAAAATATTAAAAAAAGAAATAGAAGTAATAATCTTATTTATTGCTGTAAACGAGGCCCAGGACGGCTACAGCTACACAATCCATGAAGTTAACTCCACAGTGTCACGACAGCTGAAACATGACTGTAACTTAAAGTTTGAGGTATACCACACCCTAGGATGTCAGAATGAGTTGAAGTATTTAAGTGTGTCGTTCTAGGGTTAACTTGGATCTCTCAATTTCTAGTGTGTAGTTTTATCAGTATCAATGTTTAATTAAGTAGTCTTTGGTATCATTTAAGTCTTCTCCCGATTGATGTTGCTTAACAGGGCCTAAATACCCAATGGTCAAACTGTCTTCCTCTAAAGCACCTTTAATTTGATTTATTTTAAATAATTAAATATCTCTCATTATTAGGGGTTATGAAAAAAGCTAAATATAACTTTTGAAAGAATTTGATAATAGAATAAGGGAGAAAAAAAGAAAAATGCTTATCCAGGTCGAAAATGAATCTCTGGAAATAACAGTCAGAAGGCATACATATAACATATCGTTGGAAAGCAAAGAATTTCAGAAAAAAGTAATGTCTAATAAATAAAGTTGTAGAAGGTAATGAAGAATGACGAAAAAAATATAAATAACAATTTCTGAAAACTAACATTATTTAACGTAAATCACATGTTTCCAAGGAAATTAAATGAGATTTTCTTACTAAATGTAAACTTAAAATTTTAAGTTTGAAAGTATTTAAAATCCACAGAATCAAAGCAGACATTGTTTAAAATATTATCTTATTGTATTTGTGTGAAAGAAGAAGTGAACATTCATAGCCTTTTAATATATTTACTGTAATTTAATATTTCTAGATCTGATCTTATATTTAATTAATAGGTATCAATCGTCCATTTATTCCAAAAAATCATCATGTAAACTTTAAATTAGTGAATAGTTTGATGTTTTTTCCCTTTGTGATATCCCAACAGTATCCATTTTACAATTAGTGTGATAACTTAAGACCTATCAATGCTAATCTCATAATTCCATTTTAGTAAACTTTGCTGTGGAAAATAACAGTTTGATAACCCATAGTCACAATACAATCCATAATTAACGGATCGTACAATCCATAATCAACCGATAACATAATAAAAAGGATGTTTGTTATTTTAATGGTATTAATAATTTGTTAGCTTTAAGCTTTAGCTCGGTTAAAAATGCACTTCAAAAATTTTACAATAGGCCAAAATTGCCAGAAAATAATTTCTATTCAAAGCAGAACGGTAAATGAAAGTTTTGTGTACCAGATTTTTTTACTTTCACAGCAAATCCATAAATTATTTATTCATTAATTGGCCGGTATTTTCATCCCCTCCTCCTATCATTTATAACCTTACAACATCCAGTATATTAATAAGATTATAAAATAAACAAAAATTATACAGACCCGGAACAGGCAAATCGAGGGTTTTTTTCCTTGATATAAAACTTTTAATATGAGTATGTAAGAAATCAGGAAGTTTCAAACGACCAGTTTCCACAGCTTTCCAGTTTTCTTTAACAGCAGTATCATGATGAAGTATTCTTTGAGAGGTCATTGGTTTCCACTGAGATTTGATTAATTTCTGAAAAATAATTTCATAATACCCACAATTAAACTTAATACAACTGAAAAATGTAATAACAATAAATAACTTATACAATAAACTAAATTCATTCAAGAATGAATAACTGGATCTACTTCAATTAGTTATTTATACAAGTAGTTAGCAAGGAATATGGCCAAAGAAGTAAATTCTGTAAATATAATAATGATTATAGTCAAATCATCATAAGAGTGCATATGACAGCATCAAACGACCTAAGCTGTATGAGGCATTGGGAGAAATGGGTATCGCATGCAAACTGATACGTCTCGTGAAGTTAACAATGAAAGATGTAAAGTGTCAGGTACGGATTCAATCTGACTGCATTTCCCTCCAACAAAAGATTAAGACAGGGTGATGGACTGGAGTGTCTCCTCTTCAATCTTGCACTGGAGAAGGTTGTGCGGGATTCAGGAATCCAGACGGACCACACGATATTCACCCGTACTGTACAGATATTGGGATACGCTGACGATTTGGATATCGTAGCCAGGACACGATCGACATTGGTAAAGGCCTTTAAGAAACTAATGGACGCTGCTTCAGCCATGGGATTGGCCATAAACGAAGAAAAAACGAAATACATGCATATAGGGACTGGTGGCGACGAGGAACTGAGTGTTGGCCCTTATAAGTTCCAAAGGGTGAACGAGTTTACATATTTGGGATCTCTAGTAACTGCAATAAATGATGTCTCTGCTGAGATAAAGAAAAGGCTGGTGGCAGCAAATAGAGCATATTTTGCCTTACTGAAAACTCTCCGCAGCAGATCCATTACCAGGGGCACTAAACTGGTCATATACAAGACGCTTATACGCCCAGTTCTTACCTATGCTTCCCAATCCTGGACCATCTCAAGAAGTGACGAAAAAAATCTTCTGATTTTCGAAAGGAAAATCTTACGTCGAATAGTTGGCCCAGTGAGAGATGGAGCTGGATGGAGGATTAGGAGGAACCGAGAGCTTTATGACCTCTACGGGGATATGGACATTGTAAAGTTTATTAAGCTGGGAAGGGTCAGTTGGGCTGGACATGTCACTAGGATGAAAGCGGAAGAAATTCCTAAAAAAGTAGTGGACACCGCCCTTGCATAAAAAAATATATATATATATAATATTGTATATTTTTTTTTCCTTTACCACAAACCAACTTTTTGCTCGTAAATATATTTTATAAATCAAACTATTCACGAACATAAGCAGTGTTGTACAACCAAAGAATTTACACTCATATGTGTGACTTTTGACCAATCCTTCCGACCAAATTATCCTTATATTAGAACTACGATCAATAATATCCGAAAAAAAAAAAAAATTAAGAGTCTTTTGCGGATTAGCTCCACCAATTATTTATAATCTGGAAAAGTATCTGTTACAGAAAAGTGTCAGTTATATTTGAACCAATGTTATTCTTCATAAATATATATATTTATAATCACAAACAAAATAATATTGCTGGATAAAAGCGAAAACCTTAATAATTTCTGGAGTAGCGGGAAAGCTTTCAGATAGTTTTTCTGGAGACCAAATTGTGGGATCCAAATTATACAGATACCTAATTTGCTCCTTTTCAGACCACGTTAATAAAGAGGGATAAACCTCTTTTTTGAAGAACTTTCTCTCAATTTTCTTGAACTCAACGACCCTATGATTTTTCTCCACTCTATCATAAGAAAATTAAAGAATGAATAATCAAATGGTAATAACTAATATAAACAAAGATAATACAATATTTTGAAGAAAAGTGCACCTTTCATTTGGTATTGTAATTCCACTCTCTAAATTATCTATGCTATCTTCAGTAACATCTACATTCTCTATATCTGGATGATGTTCTTTGATTATTTGTAATCTTTTACTGATACCACTATTGAATTTTCCGTTTCCAGCTCTCAATCTATAACTCCTGACAGCACTGTGCAATAATTTTATTAGAACCATTATAAACTCATTAAAACATCAATTTATTTTTATTTAAATCTCAATAGAACTCTAGTTTTTCAACAACGTAAACAAAGCTTATCTGATATTAAATAAACTTCTATTTAGGACATTGTTATCGCTACAGGTTACAAAATAATCCCAAAGAGAACGTTCAGTCACCACACGCCATCAAAGGCAGAGTTTATGTCAGACAAGAGAAGCATAACATATCTCTCCATTCTTACACTGTACGTTCTTGTACATCATGGCGCACTGTCGGAGGGCATCTGAGGTTCCTTTGCCTTTAGTGGATCCATATTGCTGTGCATGACTCGATCTTGATAAGACCGACCGAAGACTCATGACCACTAGATTTTCCAATTCTTTCTCATTATAGGGAGGAGAAAAATAGTCCTGTATGATTTGGAAAGTTGCTTGTCCTTGTCTCCTCCCTTATATTATAAAAGAGTCTGACATCATTTTTCAGTTTCCCGGAAAGTATCCTCTACCCAGACCGTAGGAAGTACGTCTAGAACAGTAAGTAGTCTATTATCTTTATAGAGAATATTATTCTTTAGCATTGCTCTATCAATAACATCTATAATCTTCGTTTCTGTGAGGGAATCTCACTTCGATACAATCTTAATCCTAGATCTGTACTCATCACGAAGTGATTTACGCCTCTCTTTACTGCACCTTCGTCTCTGATACCGACCTTCTGCGTGTCATTTTCCGTCATAGTTGTCTCATTCATGCGAGCTGTATGAAATGGGGACAAGGATTCTAATGTATCAGCCCAATATACTTGTTGCCTTGAAGGGTTCAACACATTCATATTTCTAATGTTTGATATTTAGTTGTAATTTGGAGTTACGTCAGATATTAAAGATAATTACTATTTACTTTTTCATGAAGATTCTAGACATTTATAACAAAATGTTTTTAGCTAAATATATTAAAAAATTCTCTTAAAACTATAATAATGTAAACCATAGTGATCAGAGGGCTATTTTTTAATATTTTCTTATTCTTAATCAATGTTGCGACATTTCTCTTATTTACGCCAGCTTAAGATTATCTTATGAAATCAAGAAAAAATAATTCTTTATTATATACGTGATAGACTGCTTTCTAACTCAGGTGTACCCCCTCCTGACCTACCTTATTGTATGTTTTGATAAATAAAAACAAAACAAAAAATAATCATTATTTATAAAATTAATTTTTCTCTTTATTTAGAGATTATGCAAATGATTAAACATATTCTTGAGATAACCACTCTTTAAATTTATCTTGATACAATAACCCACTTTTTTTTATTTTTTTTTTTAGATTGAATTACAGTCCCTTGTCGATTATAAAAATATAGAATTTTTGCAGCCATTTTGTTAATGACTACGTCTTTCCTAGTCATAAATTGTTTTGTTTTTGACGTAATATCTGGGAATATCGTGTATTTCAAAGTAGTTGAACTAGTTGATAATCTTATTTCTATTTTTTAATCTCGCGAAAATGATTTTCATATTAGACTTTCCCTTTTAAAACTATGTTTATTGTGTAATGTAGAATTTTTCTATTATAAGGTAAAATTATTATCCTTTTACTTTCATCGTTATCAGTTATCTTTTACTGTTTTCAATTTTTTAACCCAAATCCTTAACAAGAGTTAGTGGTTAATGAATTTGATTTAATTGACATATTAAGTGTGATTAAATTGTAGTTTCTAGTGGGCAATAAGATATGGGAACTAATCAACAGTTTTCTCTGAGATGGAACAATTATTTACATCATATTACTGAAGCATTTGACACCTTAAGGGAAGATGAAAATTTGGTGGATGTTACTTTATGTTGTGAAGGAAGAAAAATAAAAGCTCATAAAATGCTGTTATCAGCCTGCAGTTCCTATTTTAGAGAGATTTTTAAGGTAAGTTATAACGTTTTTATAATTCTCATTTTCTGCCTTATTATTATTTTTTTAAAGCATTTTGTTCTCCATTCATCTTATTAGAAAAATTTTTTTTTATGAAATACGGTTGTAAATATGTTTTGGTACTGCTTTACAAGTGTCATTTCAACATGATGGCTGGACACATGATTATTCTGTTAATGGAATTCTGAAAGTTGCGGTGTGCCCTAAAGTAAACGTTGATGGCTGATCTTCTAAGCCCCTGAGGGATCCGGTACATTTCTTTTGAGTGAGAAAGTTAAGCGATGAAGTCAAAAGTCATGGTATAAACCTAATTAGGTCCTGGCCTCAACTTAAAGCTATCCATTTGGAAAACCGAAACTCATATTGGAATTAATTGGTGGGTTACTAATTCTCAAAAGGTCTGCATGGATTTGTCTGGTTCATAATCACTTTGGACACTCTTGTTCATGGAATGACATCCACTACTCATTTTCATATCATTCATTTTTTTAAAAATCCATGTCCTCTCAACTTTCTGCAAATTCGAATTGTGAAATTCCATTCATTTGTTCACAGGATATTTGATAAAAAGTCTGAACATTGTTACTCATTTCCCTTTAATCTGGCTTGCTAAATGGAGCTCTTGCTTCAATTGTTCGATTTTTCAGTTGAACATTTTTTAAAATTTATTAATTTGTAAGTTTTTCATTATTTTATTACCTAATTTTTGTTTATTTATTACTAAATTGGCCTGTACTGTTAAGTTAAAATTTATTCCCTTGTTTTAAATACTATAATTTGGAATCAATTCACTATTTAACTATTGTTATTCATACTTATTTTGTGATATAACCTAAACATCTTGTGTAAGTCTATCCATGTTGTATAATTATATATGGATGGGGTATTCTCAACTACTTATAAGGAGAGTAAGTTATTTGTTACTGACTCATGAGATTTTTAATTTACATTATTTTAGAATTCGTTGCTCCACTGCTTTCCCTGTCTGCGTACTGTATGAGTAGTGTATCTTCAGATTAAGTTTAGGATATTCTTAGTTTGTGTTCTGGTAAAGTTCAGCTTTATTCAGTAGCTTAGTGCTTATTACCCTGAACATGAGGTTAACGTCATTCTTTAGGTTATAATAAAGGATATAAAGAGGATAAGGTGATAGGAAAACTTGTACGCCTTTTAAGAAATTGGGCTTAACCAACATTCAAGTAGAACCTATTTGGCTTCCAACCATGTATAGACAGTGGAAAATTATTTTCTCTAAGTTGACTCTTTTGGAGTAGTTGAGTTAGGATCCTGTTATCGAATCTCCTCTTTCTGATGTCTCTCCTTGTGAAGAAAAGTGGCAGCATTTTTCATATGCTATTGTCGATTTTGGACTAGCTTCAAGAATTTGGAAGTTTTCCTGCTGGCACTTGTTCTCTTCTTAAGTAAGACATTAAGACATTAACATCTTGCTGGGAGGCTTCAATGCTAAGATCGAAAGGGAGGAAGCTTACAGGCTACCATTGGACACCCCAGTCTGCATGAAGACAGCAAGGATAACGGGAAAAGAGAAATGGATTTTGCCATGTTAAGAAACATGGTTGTTGGAAGCACTCGTTCATCAAATACACAAGGCCACATGGAGATCCATAGATGGTCTTACTTTTAATCAGATCTATCACATCCTGATGAATACCCATCAGAGATCCAATCTTCTTAGCATCAGAACTTTTAGAGGAGCTAATGTAGACACTGATCATCTCCTGCTTATAGCCCGGATCCGAGTTAGAATTTCAAATATTTTGAACCGAAGAAATATTCCTTCTAAGAAATGGAACATTGGTAAGTTGATGGATCCTGACAATTGTAGATCCTTGCAGGAGAGGACAGATGAGAAGGTAAGAGAGGATCTCGGATCGACTAAGCATTCAGCATGTTAGGGACGGCCTTGAGAAGGTTCTGAGAACTTTAGCTGATGAAGTCCTGGATTGAAGTTCCAGAGCCAAGGGGTTCATGTGGATGGTTTTACAATGAGTAGTAAGGCTCTGAACGATGCTAAAAATAAAGCGTATCGGAATGGTGAAGGCTAATTGTATAGGCCAAGACCCAGTCGGGGTTGTAGTACCAAGGAGATAGATAGATAAATTTTGGTTTATCAATCATATGATTGCTGGGTAGGACAGAAGTACCTTCCTTTTATATGATCTACGTTGCACTGTTGAAACATCCATCATTAACCTTTTTTTCCCCTCAGTATTGTATTCATATATTAAATTATGTGTTTGAAAGCACCCTTATTTTTTTTTTTGCTTTAATTATTTTATTGTTTCCTTAGGAAAATCCATGTCATCATCCTATAATAGTTTTTCATAATGTTAAGTATGAAGATTTGTGGGCATTAGTATCGTTTATGTATAAAGGAGAGGTGAATGTGGAACAAGAAGGTTTATCATCTTTCCTCAACACAGCTGAGCTATTGGAAGTCCAAGGGCTCACTGGAGGGCCTAGTCGAACAGTTAGTATCTGGTAATTAATTAAAAAAATATTACCTCTCTTGATGTCATAATGTTTATTTTTTGCTTTATCAGGATGAAACTGATGATGAAAATAGTCAAGATATTAAGACAAACAGGAAGCAGAACTCCCCAAAATCATTTGCGAGGCCTGAATCTCCTGTTCTTAAAAGAAGAAAATTGCCTACAGAAGATAACCTCAAAAAGGATCACAAAACTCCATTAGCACTAGTCAAGACAGAGCCCGATTTTTATGGAGGTGACTCGCATGATGAATCAGAGGACCAAAAACCACAAAGTCTTTCACTTTCTCAGAAGCTAGATAAAAATTATGATAATAATTACAGTGATGAAAATATGGATGGATCTTCTGAAATAGGTATTACTAATAATATATTCTGTGTGATTTATAATTTAGATACATGGGGTTGTTTTTCAAATTATGGGCAACTCATAATAGAATTTTATTTGTTTTGACTAAAATTTAAATACATTTTCTAATTGCCTAAAGTTTTTATTTTATATGTCAACAAATGACCAAGATCAGAAGTGTTATTTGTTTAGTTTTTTTTCTGTGAAAAATTTAATATAAAAATATTGATACTTATAGTTCTTAATCTTTGAAAGAAAGGGAACTGTGATATTTATTTGAAGTCTTGGATTTTTTATAACTTTAATAACTGCATTTAAAAATGTATACATTGCTTATTACAAAAAAAAAAAAAAATGTTAGAAAAAATATTACTAAGAACTAAACATAAAAAAATAAATTAAATTTTTTAACACTAAAAAAACAGAGTAGTTTATCAAACCAATACTTCTCAGGTGTTCCGTATAAAAATAAGGGGAAATACTTAGTTTTAATAGTCAAATTTTAAGATTGATACTATGATATATCATATTTTCGCTTTTAATATTTTATTTATTTTTTTTAAAAAGTGATGATGGAGAAATTATTTTTTATTTATTTTATTTTTGTGTGTTTCTAATTGCTAAAATCCCTGACCAACTTCTCTTATGAAAGAAAAAATTCTTTCTTAACAGTAACCTGTTGGGGTAAAAAAATCATTTTAAACTTATCTGTTTAAGTCAAAGATTTAATAGATTAAAACTGAAAATGGGAATGACCCATTTAGAATAAACTTATGATGATTAAAATATCAAAATTATAGTTAATCAAGTGTGTTTAGTCAAAATATATAATTTTTTTTTAAAGGAAGGAGATGGTCCGGGGTGGCGGTCATAAATAGGCTAAATAGTGGTAAAACTATTTTATTAAAAGCCAACGTTTAGACCCGACTTTGCAGGTCTTCTTCAGAGAGGTGTGTTCAGCTAGGAGTTTCACTTAGAACTGACTTCTAATTGAGTTCTAAGTGAAACTCCTAGCTGAACACAGCTCCATCTGTCAGCTAGTTTAGGATTTTTTATTTTAGAAAATTAAACTTTTAGTAATTTACTTTTATCGCTTTTATTTTATTTTCATAAACTGAGAGGAGCAAAAGTTGATACTTGAGCTATAAAGCTCTTATTGTCTCTATTAGTAAAGAAAGTGAGCTACAGGATATTTTAATATTAATGCAGTTTCTCATAAGTAATTTAGGTTCTTTATTACCATAAACAGCATACTAATTATCCATATAACACCAATCTGGTTAATAAATGCTCTTTTAAGGAGCACAACGGGTCGAACGAATGAGTGCTTGCAAGCCAAATCTTGAGCGAGATGTGTGTACTACAAATAGTAAATAGTATTGGTATGTTTTTTTTTTTAAACTGTTTTAAATCCATTTTTCTTCAATTTTATTCATTACCCCTGTTTAATTTCAATGTAACGACCAGTGCCTGGATGTGTGGATGAAAATATCAACTGTGGTCTTTTATAAGGACGAAGTTTATCCCTTCAAGATCATTATAAACGATACCCACTGTATATTTATTTCCAATTTGAAAAAAATATTTACAAACTAAAAAAGGTTTTCTGACTTTTCCATTTCGAAAATTCTCTGACTTCACATTTTTCCAGATCGTTCGCCACCCAGGTTATGTTATGGAACTCCTATCACTGTTATAAAAGTTCTTTTAAACTTAATACTCTTGCAAGTATAAGTAGAAACTCTTAGTACTCCATACAGACTTGCAAAGGTAGGAACAAGATCCAAATCCCTGATTTACTAGGAACATCAAAGACTTTTTGAAAGGATGAGATGCTGCCAATTCATTCAGATTTTCAAGTTAAGAATTAAAAAAAAAACCTGTACCAATGCAAAATATGAATGGTCTTGGGTTCAGTACTTTATAAAGAAGTACTGTTTCTTGTTCTTGGTCAATAGTTGCGAAAAGAGGAGACATGACCAAAATAATGCTCAACTGCTTGGTTTTATCCCTTAATTAATAATTAAATTAAGAGTACCTACTTTATAGAGGCAGGGTATGACCCAGGAGGGTTTCCTGACCCCAGGGTCGATCCATGGCTTATGTATCAGAATAAATAATTTATCTGCCAGCAGCCAGATTCGAACTTGGGACCTTGAACATTGGAAGTCAGTACTCTACCCCTGAGCGACTCCATTCCCTCAATTAATGAATAATAGAAACATGTACTAGTATGTAAGGATCTATAGAAACAACTGACACAGACGAAGTTGACTGCTGAGTTGGTGGATGAATGTAAAAGCAACTTCTCTCGAGAACTAACAAGATGAGGATCGAGTGGGTGCCTCGACACTCAAGCATATTAGGTATTAGTACCTCTTGCACCAGACCCCATCTGTCATTGGCCTCAACAATACCAAAAGAACCATTAAGGTATCTGTAGGTAATGAGATTAGTTCTATTGGAAAACAATAAGAAACAGAACTATTCTAAGCTGTTTCTAGTGAAGGACCTCATCCAAAAAGAGGTGTAATAATTCTACTCAAGGAAAGGGGCACCCTAAGACTTGTGAAAGGACTGTATACGGATCACTGTCTACTGAATACACACATCTTCAATCTAGGAAAAACTGAGTCACCAATTTTCAGTATGAAGGACTTCCATTTTGGCTGCTGCTGCATTATTGATCCTAAGCTCTGCGAATTTATTGATCCTGACATCATATACAAATAAGTAAATGATATTGGCCTGTTTTTACAGTGTATAGGACAACAAACAACAGGCCTCAATGAGGCTGTAGTGCATTTATGCAGAAAATTAGAAAAATAATAATAAAATAAATGATTGAATATTTAATAGTTGACCATTGCATTATAAAGGAAGGAGATGGTCCAGAGTGGCGGTCATAAATAGGCTAAATAGTGGTAAAACTATTTTATTAAAAGCCAACGTTTAGACCCGACTTTGCAGGTCTTCTTCATGGAACTGTGTTCAGCTAGGAGTTTCACTTAGAACTGACTTCTAATTGAGTTCTAAGTGAAACTCCTAGCTGAACACAGCTCCATGAAGAAGACCTGCAAAGTCAGGTCTAAACGTTGGCTAAAAAAAAAAATACCAATACTATTTTTTTTTTTTTTTTTTTTTTTTTTTTTTTTTTCCTGGCCAGCAAGGACCATGAGAATATCATTTCCGTTTCCTCTTCACTCCCTCAGCCTTCCTCTTACTCTGATACTCTCTCATCCTCCTGGATGTTCCTCTCGCTCTTCCTTAGTCCATTTTCTTCCTCGTCTCTCCCTCCCACCTACAAGAACCCCAACCCCTTTCAGTTTTTCTCTAAGGGCTGATAACCCTCCCCTCTGAAACTTCTTCATCCCGAGACTTCAACGAGAAATAGCCGGCAGATCATATGGTAACAGACACGGAAACCATCAAATGGACTTCAGACTAGGAATGTGGAACATTTTAACTTTATATAGACCGGGTGGGCTTCAAGTCCTCCTTTCAGAACTGGACAAATACAGACTTGACATTACCGCTCTTCAGGAGATCCGCTGGACTGGCCATAGGCTGTTGCAGAAGAAATTCCATACAATATACTATAGTGGCCACGAGAAGAATCACTCATTTGGCACTGGGTTCGTTGTGAGAGGTTGGATGAGACAACAGGTTATTGGATTCAACCCTATTAATGACCGCCTATGTTCCATCCGCATCAAGGGAACCTTCTACAATTACGTGCTCTTTAGCTGTCATGCACCCACAGATACCTCAAGCGACGATGAGAAAGACGCCTTTTATGATGCCCTGGAACGGGCCTTTGATGCATGCTCCAGATCCGATATTAAAATCCTACTGGGGGATTTCAATGCAAAGATTGGAAGAGAAGATGCATATAAATCCACGATAGGCTGTGATAAAGAAAAGGCTGGTGGCAGCAAATAGAGCATATTTTGCCTTACTAAAAACTCTCCGCAGCAGATCCATTACCAGGGGCACTAAACTGGTCATATACAAGACACTTCTACGCCCGGTTCTTACCTATGCTTCCTAATCCTGGACCATCTCAAGAAATAACAAAAAAAATCTTCTGATTTTCGAAAGGAAAATCTTATGTCAAATAGTTGGCCCAGTGAGAGATGGAGATGGATGGAGGATTAGGAGGAACCGAGAGCTTTATGACTTCTACGGGGATATGGACATTGTAAAGTTTATTAAGCTGGGGAGACTCAGTTGGGTTGGACATGTCGCTAGGATGAAAGCGGAAGAAATTCCTAAAAAAGTAGTGGACACCGTGCTTCGCGGTACGCGACGGCCTGGTAGGCCAAGGCTTCGATGGATTTATGGAGTGGCAGCGGACGCGCGAAGCCTGTTATGGATCAGAGGCTGGAGAGCGGCAGCATAATATTGGGCCAAATTGCGGCGGCTCATTGAAGAGGCCAAGACACACCCAGGGTTGTAGCGCCACGCAGATAGATAGATAGTTCCTCTTTTATTTGTTTTACATATCTCCCTCATACTTTTATAGCTGCAAACTTTGTCAAAAATTTTCTTGTTCAGTATTTCACTATTCATCCTGACCATGTGCTCATAGAACCTCAGTCTTATGGTCCTGATTACTATTTCCAAATCTTCCAAATTTTTGTATATTTCTTTATTGTATTTTAGCCTGTATCCCTCTTGAGTTACCTTGGATCCGTGAATCCTCCTCAGAATCTTCCTCTCAATCTTCAGGATTTTCTCTATGTTCGGAAGGCTGACTGTTTCCATACCATATAATATTATATTTTATACTAAATTATGTATATATATATATATATATATATATTATATATAATAACAATTTACTATTTGTAGTATACACATCTCGGTCAAGATTTGGCTTGCAAGCACTCATTCGTTCGACCCGTTGTGCTCCTTAAAAGAGCATTTATTAACCAGGTTGGTGTTATATGGATAATTAGTATGCTGTTTATGGTAATAAAGAAACTAAATTACTTATGAGAAACTGCATTAATATTAAAATATCCTGTAGCTCACTTTCTTTACTAATAGAGACAATAAGAGCTTTATAGGTCAAGTATCAACTTTTACTCCTCTCAGTTTATGAAAATAAAAGCGATAAAAGTAAACTACTAAAAGTTTACTTTTCTAAAATAATAAAATCCTAAACTAGCTTGAAAAATGCTTCCTCTAAAACATTATATTTGTTATTTAAAAGACTGATTTGTTTTTTTTTACACAAATCATTTTGTAGTCAATTTTCCTTCAAGTAAACAAATAAATGTAGTTAGGAATTGTACATTTTTAATATTTCTGTCTTCAGAAATATTGGTCAGTAAAAACTATCATTAAATAGGGAAATGTCAGGGAATTTTACTTTAACTCTGATAACTTATTCGAGTTTATCTAATCTGCCCCCAAACTGTATTGAGACTCTTACTCAAACATCAAACTATGGCTTTGATCATTTTTTCTGATACTTGGATTTTTAGTGATTATGATTATAACCACCATTTATCAATGTGGTGTAATAAATAAATGTCTTTGATTTCTAGGTAGCGCGGGTGGTTCAAATAATGATATGACCAATATGCAGGACTCTCTTCAGGGTAAGTGTTTTTTTTTCAATAGTAGTCCAATTTGGTTGCACAACTTCATTAAAAACTAAATATTTACTTAAAATATCAATTACATATGGAATTTTTGTTTTTATTCATCTTAGCTTTTGTTTTAATATACAAAAATTGAAGAATTGTTGAATCATGCTGTATAAATCATACTTTTTTTCCTTAAGAATTTATTTTAAATAACTAGAGAACATGTAAATGATTTTCTAGATTTTTTCGAATTTTTGCTTATGTTCTTTTTATCAAAGTGGTATTTAATCTAGAAGAGTATGATACAGTATAAAGCGGTATCAATACTCCAAAGAATAGGAAAAATAAAGTAATATATGAAAATTCATTTTACAATTTTATTTTATGCAATGAGTTACTATAAGACTAAAATTTATTATAATATTTTTATTTATTCTATTAGCTAAATTAAATCAAGTTATCGATGTGTCAAATATAATTCTTAAAACCATAGAAAAATCTTTGTAGGCTGTTTTGTTTTACAGATGATCTAAAAAGTACCTAAAATTAAGTTGTTATCCAAGAACTTTTTGTTGTATTATTTTCATATTATGAAATCTACTTTGTTTCAAAATACAATGAGAATTTTCAGTTGGAAATACTTTTTATGCTTTAATGCATACGGTTCTCATTATTCATATAAATTTAAATTATTTATCATATGTAGACATTTTTATTAACTTCAATTGTTATTGCCATTATTCATTGGATTTTTGTTGGACACTATGCATCAATAAGGATACAAACTAATGTCATTCATTTAAATAAGTTAAACTTCAGCAGAATGATGAAATGTTTCTTCCAAAAAATTTCTCTTTTCTATACCTTACCTACCTGCCTATGATTATATTACTCAGTATTATCTGTTTATGTTCTCTGAAATATCGATCTTGTAATGGTGGATCTACAAGGCTTCAAGTCTCTTTAGTATTCTTTGACTCAATGAATTTTTGAATTACAGATTGCTCAATTAACACGTTTGTCGCCCAGTGTGAATCATTTGAGTTTCTCTCGGGCCTAAATACTAGGCTCCACAATGAAAGGATGAAAATGAAAAATATTTCTCACCGTTTAGAGGTTCGTAGGAATCTACTGGGCAAGTCTGTTAGACGGATTTGTGTTCTTTGTTACCAGAAGAAAAGACGATTTCTCGACCGCCAAGCAGCAAAACGAAATGTTAAAAAGACTACAACGTATTGTCCCAGTTGTCCAAGATCACCACAAATCTGTATAAATTGTTTTAATGAATACCATGTTATTCAATAAATGTTTTATTTCATCTCAATACAAATTCATATATGGTATTATATAGTATGTATATTTTTATATTGTATATTTTATATTTGCCAATACTTATTCCATTAAATTCTTATGTTACAAATGGAATTTTTATGAAGCATAAAATCCCATTTATTTTGACCAAGAAGAACATATATCTGGACAAAGGATCCACATGGAAGCTCATCGATCAACCTGATATGGATTACGTGGCGACGAACGTGTTAACTAAGTATTTTTTACTTTCACTTACCTATATATGTAATATATAGTAAGGGAAAGTATTGCAATAGTGAACATTTCGATGAATGTTATGAATCTAAGTTTTCATTGTAAATACACATTTTGAAGTCTCCAGAGTCCAAATAACCAAATCCCGCAAAATGGTCTGAAGTTGTACGAAACTGATATTACATATTTAAGATAGGTAAATGACTTAGATGTTACAGCAACTTTTTCCTTAAAATCGGCTAACCGGCAGTGCCACTTTATATCAATGATGAAACACATTGTTAATATTTTCTCAAAAACAGCTCAAACGATTTTGATTATAAACTTGGTGTATCATTATATAATTAAGTGGTTTTTAATATAATTTAGGTCTTATCCCCATTAATGTCGCTTTTCAGGGCTTAAGTGCCCAATGTTTATATAAGTCTTCCTCTAAAGTACCTTTAATATGGTTTATTTTAAAAAATTAACTCTCTTTTATTGACAGTAACTATAAAAAAATAGCTAAATATGAAGTTTGAAAGAATAAAATAATTGGAAACTAAAGAAATATGCTTATCCAGGTTGAAAATGAATCTCCGGAAATAACAGTCAAAAAGTATACGTATGATATATCGGAAAGCGGAGAATTTTAGAAAAAATAATATTAAATAAATAAAGTTGTAGAAGGTAACGGAGAGAGACCATAAAAATATATATAATAATTTCTTAAAACTAACATTATTTAACGTAAATCACTTGTTTCCAAGGAAATTAATTTTTCCTTTCTTTTTCTTTTTCCTGAAATTTTCTTACTAAATGTAAACTTTGAAATTGTTTTTCAAGTTTGAAAAAAAAGCATTTAAAATTCATCGAATCAAGGTAATGACATTGTTTAAAATACTATTTCACTGTACTTGTGTGAAAGAAGAAGTGAAATATAAAAATATTTCATGGATATGATTATTACCATAAAAACATTTACTGTAGTTTAATAACTCTAGGCCAGATATTATATCTAAATAATTATGTGTCCATCGGCCGTTTATTCCGGAAAAATCATCAAGTAACCTTTTAGAAAATTAAATTAGTGAATAATTTGATTAATTTTCTCTTTGTGAAATCCCTATATTATCCACTTACAATGAGTGTGACAAGTTTTGATCTATCCATGACAGGCAATGAAAATCTCGTAATTTCGTTTTAATAAATTTTACAATGGAAAATAACAGTTTAATAACTAGTAGTCCTAGAATTCATAATCATTTATAGGTTAAATATTCAGATGTATTTTCAAATCTCTCTAGGCATATATGAGCCTTTCAGTTAAATAAAATGTAGTTTTTATTCTGATTGATGTTCTCTAACAGGGCTTAAATGGTTAATTTTCAATATTAGCTTCCTCTAAAGCACCTTTAATTTTTTTATCTGAAACAATTGACTATTTCACATTAATTTCTAATATAAAAGACAGTTAAATATAAAATATGAAAGAATTTGATAAATAACTAAAGGAGAAATAAAAAATAAATAAAAAGGAGAATACTTGTAATTGACCGCCCCCGAGCTTGTCCGAAAGATTATAACAGGCTTCCATACGTAACATGAGCTTGATATAATACGGATTCCGACTATATTATATATCATAAATGCAATTGTTGGTTTTGTTTAATATTTAATTGTATAGATTATACCAATATAAATATTAAAAGTTGTTTACATAAGGGTACTTATACAAATAAAATTACCCACAATGAAATATAAATAATTATAGCGTCTATAATTTTTACTTTCACTTCTCCTTTGTCTGAAAATACTTATTTCTGCTAAGAGGGTGGTAAGTGTAAGTTGTGTGATGCGCGCACTCTAATAACTTGGATTTTTTAAAACAAAAATGAAATATAAAAATTTTCCTCAGTTTATTGAAACTAATAGGAACTTATTGATAGCTTATCTCATATGGCTAACTCAGAAGCCTCCAAACTTTTTTACGTGTGGGCTACATCTCCTCCTAGACCGAGACCTCCACTAAGTCTAGCGGGGCATGGCTTGTGGTGAAAAATAAAAACATGTTCAATAAATGACAATTCAGTTGTGAAATTCAAATTCTAAGAGAAATAATTCATGCAATAAATTTATCACTGTTTGAGTAATTTATTGTATTTCATATTTTTAAAATAATTTATAATATTTTGCCATGTAATCAAAGGAACTTTCGCTGGCCTAATCAGATGTGGTTGCTGGCCATAGTTTGGAGACTCCTGGTCCAATTTATTTTTATTGAGCATGTTAAAGCATAAACATTAACATTCTTTAGTCTAGCAACTCAGGTTCAAATCCCATTTGGGTAGGTTGAAATTTATTTCATGGTGGACCCATAGAATGATTCTCGAACTCTTCACTCTGGTAAGAATTGATTCGGTTATACCCCTGAAGTAACATCCCCTCCCAACCGTATGCCAGAAATAGCATATGGTGTATACAATGTTTTTCATATCTCTTCAAACATGGTGAATTTTATACCCTCAAATCCTTTTTGTAGGGTATTTTATTACACAATTTTTTTTCAAAAGAAAACTGCAGCTGAATGGTATAGAATTCTTGTGGTGACTGATGGCAATCCTGATCAATCAGAAAGAACATTCAGAAAATGTTTTCAAAGCTTTAAAAACAATGGTTTTGATCTCAGAAATGTCAACCATTCAGGCACCCCAAAAAAGTTTGAAGACATTATTTGGTGAAGATTCATGCTAGATGCAGGAAGAATTTGGAGAATAATTGGGAGTTGGTCGAATAACAGTTGCTAAACATTTGAAAGTTTTAGAAATGGTTCAAGAGCAAGAAAATTGAGTACCGTATCAATTAAAGAAAAGGGATATAGAACAATGTTTATTTACATGCCAACAGCTGCTTCAATGACAAAAAAGAACAAGTTTTCTGCATTGTATCATAAGTAGTAATGAAAATTGGATATGCCACAACAATCCAAAGCGAATAAAATTGTATGAACTGCCTGGACACACCTCAACATCGACAGCAAAGCTGAACATGGTTCCAAGCTTATGCTTTGCATTTGGTGTGATCAGCTGGCTGTCTTTTATTACGAGCTGCTTCAGCCCAAAGAAACCATCACAGGAAGTTGCTATAGACTACTATTGATGCGTTTAAGCCAAGCTGTTGTAGCCTAGTGTTTGAATTGGTTTTGATCTTAATTAAATAATAACAGTTGAATAACTTGTTTATTACTAAGCACTTTACATATATACATGTTGGAAGATACACAACAGCTTGTAGCATTGCTATACTGCTATTTATACATTTTACATTAAATATAGTCACTATAGTTCTCCTCCACTTATTTGAAACATTCAAGAACGATATAGTGGAAGACGATGAGGCCTGGAAGAACAACATAGACATTCATCATCATTGAATACTGGGGTTAATTTCTGATGGAGGTGGATTCTCGGCTGACGACGGAGCTG